TGTGGGTGTGTGTCTTTTGTCGGAGCCATAGTAAAGAGACCTCCTCACTTAGCCCCCTTCTTCTGATGGAGCTCAGCAAGCTAGAGGCGGCACTGGCGCGGCAGCGGCTGTGAACACAATTCTATTCATTTATTTATTTTAATTTGACCAGAGAGGAACAGAGAGAGAGAGAGCAAGAAAGATTTGACTGTTACATTATTTAATCCATTGCTTGTTAATTTTTCAGTTACTTTAGGATTTTGCAATAGTAAACAAGGCAGTAGGGTAAAGGTGGATACCTTTATTATAAAAGTTCTGTCAAATGTGTGAGTAGATCTGTATGCTAACTCCTGGAAATGAGATTCCTTGGTGGAAAGATATGTATATTTGTAATTTTGCTAGCTAATGCCAAATGGCTTTATATAAAAGAGTCAGGTAGAACCCCTATGTAAAGTAACTTGGCACTAGCTAGCAAAATTGGTATTTGTTAATCTGTTGAATGAAAATGGTATTTCAGTGCAGAATTAATTTGCATTTCTCTTATTTTAAGTGATGTTTAGCATATTTGAATACCCTTTTACTTTCCTTTTCTTTAACTTTATTTATTTTAATTTGACCAGAGAGGGACAGAGTAAGAGAGAGAGGGAAAGTGAGAAAGCAAGTCACCAGGTCCAGGACTTGAACTGCAGTAGGTTATGTGGGAGTCCAGTGCCCTTAACCACCACGCCACCTGCCAGTCCCAATTAATATTATTTTTAAATTTTCTACAGGGCTTGTATTCTCACCAGAGAGAGACAGAGAGAGAAGGAAAGTGAGCAAGCAAGTCTCCAGGTCCAGGACTTGAATCATGGTCGACCACGTGAGAGTCCAGCATCCCAATTACCAAGCCAACTGCTGGCCCCCATCTTTAATCTTTAAAATCTTACTGCGTGGTAGACGGTATTATCCTTGTTTGGGGCCAGCAGGTGGCATGGTAGTTAAGTGCTGGATTCTCACATGGCCAACTGTGGTTTGAGTGCCAGACCTGCCGACTTGCTTTCTCCCATGCTCTTTCTCTCTCTGTATCTCTGTATCTCTATCATCAAATTAAATAATAATAATAATAACAAATGGAATTAAATAAATACATAATTCTTTTTATTTTTTTATTTATTATTTTTTGGAGAGTTTTTTTTTTCTTTTTTTGCTATAGGGCGCGCGTGCTCGCCAGATAGTCAGAGAGAGACAGAGAGACAGAAAGTTAGAAATCACCCTCCAGGGGGATGGCCACGCTGCAGTCCCTTCTCCTCCATTCTCCTCTCGGGATCTTGGGCACGCACGCACACACACCCGACGTGAATTTTAAGCCACCGGGTCCAGGACGTGAACTGCAGTCGACTACATGGGAGTCCAGCGGCATAGCCATTACGCTAACTGCTGGTCCCATAATTCTTTTTAAAAAGATAGTGTTATCCTTATTTCATAAATGGAAAAACCCCTGATCGAGTTCATTAATTTCATTAATAAAATTAATTTTCAACAAATATTCATTAAACTCTTATTATGTTCCAAGCATGTTCTTTAGTTTGGGAATAAAGCAGTGGGGAATAAAACAAACTAGATCTTTTTTTTTTTTTAAAAGGTTTTTGCCATAGGATGCATGTGCTTACCAGAGAGACAGAGACAGACAGTGAGAAATCACCTCCCAGAGAAGATGACCACACTGCAAGCCCCTCTCCATTCTCCTCCTGGGATTTAGGGCACATATACACATGTGCCCGATGTGTATTTCAAGCCACTGGGTCTGTGACTCGAACTGCAGTCAGCTATGTGGGAGTCTAGTGCCTTAACCACCATGCCACCTGCTAGCCCCAGACTAAGTCCTTTTTTGTGGGTTTATATTTGAAGGACCAGAGGGAAGGCATAGACAAGAAAACAGTAAAATGAGAAACTTTCTAATAATGTTAAGTATTATTTCTGTTGTTGTTTTTGTTTTCTTTAAAAGAATGATTTGATTGAACTTCAATTAATTAATTAATTTAAATTTTATCAGAGAGGGACAGAATGAGAGAGTGAGAAAGTAAGAAAGCAGCTGTCAGGTCTGGGACTCAAACCTCAGTCGGCCATGTGGGAGTCCAGTGCCCTTAACCACCACATCATCTGCCGGTTCCGATAGTGGGAAGTATTATGAAGAAGATTAGTCAAGTTAGTGCGTTTAGTAAGGGATGGCTAGGCTACTATTAGATTCAGTTGTCTGGGAAGTTCTTTCTGAAAAGGTGAGATTCGATCTGTTATAAGTTGCAACTATTAGTGCAAAGGCCTTCAAACTAAAATGAGCTTGACTTGTTCAGGACACAGGAAAAATATGGTTGAGGGGCAAGCAGGAGAAACCAGTGTGTGTGTGTGTGTGTGTACTGCTAGAGGCTGCAGTATGTGTGTGTGTGTGTGTGTGTGTGTGTGTGTGTGTGTACTGCTGGAGAGGAGGATGGAAAAAGCAACCCCCGCAACGGGCCATGGCCATGCTACAATCCCTTCTCCTCCATTCTTCATCCTGTTGGGATTCAGGGCACTTGTGAACATGCACCCAGAGTGTTAACTCCAGCCACCACAGCTGGAGTTAAACCATGGTGGTTAACCATGTACGATCCAGCTCCCTTCCCCACTAGGCCATAGGCTGGCCTCACCATTGAGAGTTTCTGAGAGGAAGGGAAATTTGATTTGATTTGTATCCGTCAGGACACGGTAAGTTAGCAATTCTAAAAGTTTTGGTTTCAGGCCCCTTTCCATTTAAAAAAATTGAAGATTCAAACAGCTTTTTTAAAAATGTGTACATTATCTATTGCTGTCCAACAAATTACCCCAAAACTAAGTGACTTAAAGCAGTACTAATCATTTGGTTTTTTCTGGGTTTCTGTGGGTCTGGAATTTGGAAGCAATTTGGCAGGTATTTTCTGGCTTGGTTCTTGTGTGAAGTTGCAATTTTCCGAAGGCTTGACTAGGGCTGAAGGACCTGCTTCCAAGATGGCTGGGTCTCATGAGTATGGAATCTGTTGTTAGCAAGAAGCCTCCATTCCTCTCTATGGGAGCTCTCTGCAAGCATATCTGAGTGTCCCATCATGAGTGTTGGTTTCTCCTCAAGCAGGGGATCCAAGAAACAGCAATAACAGAGGTCCTAATGCCTTCTTTTTTTTGGGGGGGGAGAGGTTTTTGCCATAGGGCTCGTAAGCTTGCCAGACAGACAAAGAGAGACAGAAAGCAGGAAATCACCCCCCCAGGGGGGATGGCCACGCCGCAGTCCCTTCTCTTCCATTCTCCTCTTGGGATCGTGGGCACGCGCACACGCGCCCAGCGTGAGTTTTAAGCCACTGGGTCTGGGACTCGAACCGTGGTCGACTGCATGGGAGTCCAGCGACATAGCCATTACGCTAACTGCTGGTCCCCCAATGCCTTCTGTGACCTCGCCTCAAGTCACAGAAAACATGGGAAGTGAAGAATGAAGACACCTCCTTTGAGGAGTTTTATGCCATGTAGGTAGGTAGTGGAAGAAAGGGAGGGGGACAAAAAACGTGAAGATGAAATGACACGTATGGGAAATGTCTATGTGAACTCCAGGTGCTCTGTAAGGATTAGCCTTCATTTTATTATTTGAACTCGTAGGCATTTCTTTCCTCCTCTTTTTAAAGAATGATTTAATTTAATTTGTCTATTTATTCATGGACCAGAGAGAAAGAGCGAGCGAGAGAGAGAAAGCAGGCCGCCAGGTCCAGGACTTGAACCACAGTCAACCATGTGGGAGTTCAGCGCCCAAACTACCACACCACTTGAAGGCTCCCACTACCTAAACATTTCAAACCAGTTCAGTGTTAAAAGTCACTGAGTTGCTAAAAAACAAACAAACAAACAAACAAAAAAACACTTAGATGCTACCACTCGTCCCCAGTTTGCGGGAGGTTAAAGCACAACGCCTTCCAGCCAACGAAAAGCGGAGAAATGGAGTGCCTGATGAAGAAGGAGGAGCGAAAGCAAAGGACATCGGCAAGAAAAGGATTTGCTCAACTAATATTGTCCTCCCAGGGACACCGTAGGGCAGATCTCGCGGCCTTATCATTGTTTTAGGGGCGGAGCCGGCAGGAAATTTAAACGGAAGCCGCGGCCGAGAATGGTATTGCAGCCGCTCTGGGACTACTGGCGCTCCGGAGTTCCTAAGAGCAATGGAACCCGCGAAACTATTAAGGAGGTCTTGAGGAAGGCGTGGGGGGCCGAGGAGTTGCTGAGGACTTGATGAGCGAGCCGGGAAAGGGAACGGATGCCGAGAACAGTAGTGAGGGGTAAGAAACGAGGTGGACCAGGTCCTGAGCTGCAGAGAGATGCGGGGTCGCGCCGAAGGCAGAGGAATTGAGGTGCGGGTAGTTGTAGACGGAAGGAGTGTACAAAGGACTGAGAAGGGGGTCTCAGCTCCAGAAGAGGGCAGAGAGCTGAGGACAGGAGCACGAAGGGAGGTGCGGGAATCGAGATGAACAAGGTCTGGCTAAGTCCCGACAGTGGAGGGAGCAGAGCCTGAACGTGGGCAGTGGGCCTGAGGGACAAGAGGCTGGAACGAGGGAGGTGAGGACCTGCGTTAGGGGTTTGCGCGGGGCCTGTGAGCCGGTCTGGGTTAGGGGGCGGGAGGGATGGAATGTCTAAGGCTGGTGAAGACGGTTGAGCTGCTGTTTTGTCCTTTCTCAGGCTACGATTACCTTGAGCTGAAGAATTCCATGGCTGAGAGCAGACTCCGGGCTCCAGACCCAGGTGGGTAACGAACAGGTCAGAAGTGTCCCAGGGTCTCTGAAGAAGGATGAGAAATTTTAGCCCTGTTGTGTTTTTGTGTGTGCATGTATATTGAGGGTGGCATAGATCAGTTAGGAATTCATTGTAAAGGTCAAAGGAAGTAGATACTATGAACAAGATGGGCAGTCTATGTGAAGCCAGGGTGGAGTAACGCATGAAACCTGTATTCATGATTATTTTCCTATAAAATCCCCCCCCAAGAATTATTTATTTAATTCCATTTGTTATTATTATTTTTTTTAATGTGATCAGAGAGAGACAGAAAGGAAAAGCGAGAAAGCAACCCATCAGGTCCAAGACTTGAACCGTGTGTTCGAGGGGAATCCAGTTCCTTTAACCACCACACCATCTGCCATCCCCTAAAATTCTTTAAATTTTATCTGTAAACTTAAACATTGCTACCATTTTTTCTTAAATTGCTTGTCCTTCCTGTCTTGTGGCTTTCTTCTGATCTCTCTCCCTCTCTCGCCTTTTCTCCAGCAGTGTTTTCAAAGGGATGTGTTGGAGGAGAGAGACAGAGAGTGAGCCTGGGAAAGTGAGAAATCACCACACACCCCCCTCCACTGCAATCCTTCTTCCTCCATTCTTCTCTCAGGGTTTTGGTTACACACTTGTCCAGATCAAGCCACTGGGTCTGGTTCTTTATTTTTTGGAGAGGTTTTTGCTATAGGGCGCGTGCGCTCGCCAAACAGATGGAGAGAGACAGAGAGTAAGAAAGCGAGAAATCCCCCCCCCAGGG